GGGAAAACTCAAGAAGCAGGCAGTGGATCACACGTTTATTAATACAACAATTGGAGTGCAGAATAGTACATAGTTCGTGTTACATTGTCATTAATTACTAAACATCTGGATCCATTCGATCAAATCAAAAAAATGTTTATCAGTCAGAATTTTGATTTTTCCAGCTTTTTGAAGATGTAACAGTTCTGTCACTATCTTCCTGAAGGAGTTATGCTGAGCCTCAAGAAGGTCTGGATCAGGTTCTCCTACATCTAATATCAATTTATCACGATCGAAATCGGAATCTTCGTCCAAATCGTAAATTTCAATAAGGTAATCGACATCATAGTCGTCACAACAACTTGGGGACAAGAGCACGTAAAGTTTCTATTGAAAGTTTGGATTATAGATCAGTAAATCATAAACATACTTCGGAAGATTGATTTACTAACTCTAAGACTGTAGATATGAGGTGATCAGGTGAGGACAGAGGTTCAACGAACACTAAATCTATGCGAAACGGTTTATCTCTGAAAACGAAAATGAGAAGAAGATTCCAGGAGAGCGCAAACCTGAAGAATGTTGGAATGCTATCCCAAAAGATTTCGTGAAATGAGTCCTCGAACACACTTAGACTCATAACATCGTGTAAATCGAACATTTGATCATATGAAATATCTTCTCGAATGATCGGGTAATTGATCTCTATCAAAGCTCTTGCTCGACCTGACTTTTTTTCTTTTTCATCAACACTATCGTTGTAATCCCTTATCTTGATCCAGCAAGGGTATTTGACAAAATGACGTTTAGCATAGTTGCTATTTAAGATCGAGTTGAACTCCTTGTTCACGCGTTTCAAACTCCAAAAATTCTGAAATAATCATAACTTTTCATATTCTTTTCGGGGGAACCTGGAACTCATAGAGATCCGCCGTCTCATCTATCACTCTCTCCAGAATTTTTTCTTTCAGTTCACGAGGGAGAAGCTCAAACGGGGATAGATCCTCTTCTTCCTTCTTATGTATGGACGGTACGTCTCCTTTCTCAGCTTCCATTTCTCTCCTCTATAACCTGAATCAAGAACATTGTAATTGATCGAAACAGTTTGAGTTAAGTAAACTGAATGATAGGTCATAACATGCCTTCGAAGCAACAAAGCATGTCGATTATCCGGTTATCGATTGAGGTCGATTTCATAACATCGTTGTTCCATCGTGGTAGGATTTGAAATTAACAGTATACTTGTTCATTACCATAATGTGAACGA